TTACTTTTTGGACTCCATTTTCTGAGCCCGAGTTCCTTCTTCTGTAAAATGATGGGGTTGGACCAGATAACTTCCAAGGTCTCTCCCACCCTATAATTATTGAGCTAGGTGGACCACTCGCTTCTAAGGAAAAAGATCTACTTAGGAATAAAGTCTAATAAGCAGAGGACTCGACTAGACATAGACTGAGCTGAAACTTAAGTACAGCAAGATCAAGTTTTTGAGGGAATTTTGATAAAATTAAGTTTCCCCCCTTTTGTGTATTTCGCTATTCCTGATTTCTTGGAAACATGATCCCAAAAGAAAGCTGTTATAAATAATCTCTAAGTTCTACTTAGCAATAGATTAGATGATTTCTTGGAGCGAGTTGTGCCTTAGGAAGAAGGGGTAGTTAGAGACTGAGAATAGATCTTATAACTGGTTGTAGGAATTTGACTAAAGAGTGTGAGACTATGAGACAGAAAAAGGAAGAATGACTACAGTGGTTTGGCTTTCCATGTACCATCTGAGCACTGTTCTCCTTATTTAAAATGACTTGGAGGAAACATTTTTGTTTCATGCATTTCCATTATTAAATATTACCTAGAATTATTCGAAGAATAAAAACTCCTAGCAGCTAGTGAATTTAACAAAAGAGCAATTTTGTTTCTTTCTTTAATAAATGTTCTTATTCTGATTATGAAAGTTACACACATTTTAATTGTGGTAGTTTATAATAATTAGAGCAAATTCCCTTTATAATTACTCTTTTCCCAAATGTCCTTAGTGATTAAACCAAATGCCTTTTTGGCATGTACCTCTGCCCTTCTTTGTGAGCACTACCTCTCCTTACCCACCCACCAGGGTGAGCCCCAATGACAGGCATGTTTATGCACTGTGAGCCTGTCTGATGCTAAATACAGTTGATTGGACCAGGAGGTAGAGATTCTCTCCACCAGGATTCTGTAATTGGTACTAAAATTAAATAATCAATCTGGATGGTTAATATGGCAATATTAAATCTGTGTTAGAACTCTTTTTGTTGATAGTGACAGAAATGAAAATCTAAATGTGCTTAAACAAAATATAAATAATATATTGGGCTCATTAACTTAGAAGTCCAGAGAGATGATGTTACTGCATGGCTGTTTATAGGTGCTCAAATGACATCTTCAGGGCTGAGTTTAACCATTTCTGAGTTCATTTTCTTTGGGTTGTTCTCATTCCCAGGCAGCCTCTTCCCCTATAGAGGGAGTCATCCACCAGTAGCTTCACACCTATGTTCTACCACTTTAGTAATCCCAAAAGGAAGCACAATTACTAGTTAATTCTATAAAAATTCTTAGGAAAGATTTTCATTGGCCTAGTTTGGATTGTGAGTCCATGAACCAATAGCAAAGGCTAGAATATGTCCATGCTTTCATTACCCAGACCCAAGTCAAAATCCTACCCTTAGGGCTTCCCTGGTGGCGCAGTGGTTGAGAGTCCGCCTGCCGATGCAGGGGACACGGGTTTGTGCCCCGGTCCGGGAAGATCCCATGTGCCGCGGAGCGGCTGGGCCCGTGAGCCATGACCGCTGAGCCTGCGCGTACGGAGCCTGTGCTCCGCAACGGGCGAGGCCACAACAGTGAGAGGCCCGCGTACCGAAAAAAAAAAAAAAAAAAAAATCCTACCCTTGAGGTCAGCCATGCCTGAAGACCATGGGCTTAAAGTGGAGAAGGAATGGTTCTTTAGAGGAAAATCGAGGTGCTTTATTTCATTACAAGGTCATATTAGAAAAAAAAGGTGATCATTGATTGGTTAATTGGCTGATGCTTAATTGATCTGTGGATTGACCATCTAGGACCAGTCTTGGATTAGTCAGCTCTTGGATAGGAAATATATAAATGGAAAGTTGTTTGCAGAATGGACTGACTGGGTGGCTATACACCCAGGCATTCTTGGTCTCAATGACTGTGATGTTTTCCCTTTCTTTTGACTGAAGGTTGAGCCTTAATCATTTGTTGTTGGTCATCTTATCTTGGACTGTTTTGGAAAAGAATGACTAAGGCACTTGGGTCAATCCAATGATGGTGAAAAAGCATACACAGGGTTCCTTCCTAGTCAAGCTGCATATTCAAACTCAGTTTACCAAGTTCCCCGGGGTGAGCCTCATGTATCAGGAACAATCCTGCTTCTCCAGTGTAGCATGGTGGCCTAGCGGTCCAGTGTACCTTGTTGGTTTGTTTGCTTGTTGCTGTGGTCTGAATGTTTATGTTCCCCCAGAATTCATATGTTGACATACCAATGCCAAACGTGATGGTATGGGGCCTTTGAGAGGTGATTAGGTCATTAATGCCCTTATAAATGAAACCTGAGAGAGTTCCCTGGCCTGTTCTACCATGTAAGGACACAACAAGGAGATAGCAGTCTGCATTCCAGAAGGGGGCCTTCAACAGAATCCAACCATGCTGCCACCTGATCTTGACTTGCAGCCTCCAGAACTGTGAGAAATAAATTCTTTTGTTTATAAGTCATCCAGGCTGTGGTATTTTGTTATAACAGCCTGAATGGACTAGACACTTGTTTACATATCTTTGAAGAAAATGAAATTTACACAGACGTGGTATTTGCCAACAGGAAGCATATATGGATTGTCTCTAGTCCCAGTCACTGTCCAAAGAAGCAGATATAAGCAGTTTCTCATTTCTACAAAATAAAAACTTTTTATTGGCAAATTTGAAATAATTTAGAATGAATAGACTTCCCCTCTTTACCAATTATAAAAATTCAATTTAATTCATTCCAAGTGAAGCTTCATCTATGAATCTTTTTTTTTTTTTTTTTTTTTTTTGCTGTACGCGGGCCTCTCACTGTCGTGGCCTCTCCCGTTGCGGAGCACAGGCTCCAGACGCGCAGGCTCAGCGGCCATGGCTCACGGGCCCAGCCGCTCCGCAGCATGTGGGATCTTCCCGGACCGGGGCACGAACCCGTGTCCCCTGCATCGGCAGGTGAACTCTCAACCACCGCGCCACCAGGGAAGCCCTATGAATCTTTTGATCACTTGGCCTAGCTCAGTTTCCTTCTGCTTCCTTTATCTTCCATCTTCCTTTCCTCCAATAATAATAATAATAATAATGTGTTACTCATTGAGCAATTACTTTGCACCAGGCACTGTGCTAAATGTTTTTCATGGATTATCTCATTTAATCTACTCAATAAGGTAGGCTATTGAAGACAATGCTTGTTTTGCAGAAGCACAGAGAGGCTAAGAAACTTTGTCCAATGTCATAAAATTCATGATTAAGCATGGCATTGAACCTAAACAGTTTGATTCTCAAGACCACACCTTTGGCCATGGCACTACACAACTTTTCACAGCATTTTTCGTCTATACCTCTTATCCACAGCACAGTGCCTGGCACGTAGTAAGCACAATGATAAACACTGTGTAAGTGTAAGGCATACAGTGTAATGACTTGATACATGTATATATTACAAAATAAGATTGATTTTATCATAACATTTCCCAACTATTTTTAATACTAATTCATAAAATAATGGGTATTATTTAATAATTTAAAATTAAACTAAGATTAAAATTGAAGTGTATTAGAACATTAACTACATTTAATGCATAGAAAAATCCTTTAAGGTTTTGCAAATACACCCCATCCTTTCATGGGCATCTTGTACCTAAAATTATTTGAAATGTCCCAGGTCATGGATAACACAATTCGGCAATTGAGGATTTTCCAACCAAGACATTTGGGGTCATGTTTAATATACGTGGTAGACAGAATTCTAAAATGCCCCCACCCCCCATATTTCCCACTCTAATATGATGAGCTATCAAGACCTGATTAGTTATGTTTAGATGGCAAAAGGGATTTTGCCGATGTAATTAAGGTTATTGATCAATTGACTTTGAGTTAATCAAAAAGAAGATATCTGGGCAGGTCTAATTGATCACACGAGTCCTTAAAAGAGAGAGTTTTCTCAGGCTGGTGGCAGAAGAAGTCAGAAAGATTTGAAGCACAAGGATTCAACACATCATTGCTGGCTTGAAGATGAAGGGGGTAACATCCAAGGACTCGGGAACATCTTCTAGTTTTTGAGAACAACCCCTGGTAACAACCACAAGGAAGTGAATTCTTTCAACAATCTGCCTGGACTTGGAAGCAGATTCTCCTCCAGAATATTCAGAAAAGATCCCCACCCCATGGTGATTTGGGGCTTGTGAGATCCTAATCAGAGAGTCCAGTTGAGCCCACCCAGACTTCTGATCTACTGAACTGTGAGATAATAAATAAGTGTAATTTTTTTTTTTTTTTTTTTTTTTGCTGTACGCGGGCCTCTCACTGTCGTGGCCTCTCCCGTTGCGGAGCACAGGCTCCGTACGCGCAGGCTCAGCGGCCATGGCTCACGGGCCCAGCCGCTCCGTGGCACGTGGGATCTTCCCGGACCGGGGCACAAACCCGTGTCCCCTGCATCGGCAGGCGGACTCTCAACCACTGCGCCACCAGGGAAGCCCAATAAATGTAATTTTAAGCTGCTAAATCTGTGGCAGTTTGTGACACAGAAATAGAAAACGAATGCAGATTTTTATTGATTGACCCATATGAAATTGCCAGTATTCACTGTTTTTGCTCTATAATGATTTCATTTGGTTCAGCCTAATATTATTTGGATGTGTTCCATTTAATATTCTTTGGTTGATAGGTTCTTACAGCCTTGACATCTTAGGAAGACAGCAAAAACCAATGTTTACAAACTTTACTCACTCCCTTGTTCTTTACTCCCCCAAATGCACACACCAAAAAATGTATTAATATATATGTTGATCATTTTATGAGTCCTATACCAGAGAAAATGTCTCCAACCTTTAATCAAGTTGTTTCTAACTGCTTCTGTTACCAATTATGAGCCATAGTATACCTAGTGTCTGTTCTCAGATGTGATCTAAAGTGTTTGAGGTCAGAAAGTATGTCTTTATTTCCTATACAATTTTTTGTACATACTCTCTTAACAAATAAGCAATTCAATGTTCAGGTTTACAATGATGGCTCTTTGACGTGTAAAGTTTGTCTGATTCAGTTATGCAGAGTGATATGCAGGGTTTTGTTTGGCATGATCACTGGGGAGAAAAGATGTTTTACAGTTTACACCATAGATTGAGACTTTTAACGTTTTTTTTCTTCAAAGTAAGAGTTGAGGAGTGTAGAAGTTCCCACCCACGCACTGAAACAGAATGCCGAGGGGAGAGCTGATGATTGAGCTGAGAATTCAGCGAGCCATCCTTTCAAAACAGCTCCTGAAAACATCTGAGAACACAAATGGGCAGAGGAACCTTCAGCGGCATAAAGAATCCAGCAATCATGTTTTCATTACAAAACAAGTATTTTCCTTTACCACTTATATATGTAACCCGAAAGACACAAAAGTGAACTCAGTGCAAGTAGGTGCAATGTTTTGATTCCACCCAGAGGGTGTTGAGACAGAGTAAAGACCGAACAGCTCCTCCTGGCTGTCATTGAGTGTGGCATTTATTATCGAATCAGGAAATATGTTTCTAGTGAAGCCCAGCTCTAAGATGGAATCAAGAACTTAATGGTCATGCATCCTGACCATTGTGTAACTCAATGTTGCTTCATCCATCCAGATAAAAAGAAGCTGTGATTAATTTATAAATTATGGCCAATTCACTAGAATCCATGCTTCTAAATCCTCAAATTCTTAGGACCATGCTTCCAAATCAATACTGTCCATTCTATGGGCAGCTTCTTTTTTTTTCTTACTGAGTTTCCTCTTATAAATTTTAGAATGAGCCAAGTAATTTTACCAAGATCACTTACAATATTGCTTCAGGAATAATATTTTCAGAACAAGCAAAGGAACACTAATAGAATAAGACCCTTCATACACACAAGGATCCTTTTAAAATATCTTTAGAAAATAGATATGGTTCTCAACACCTTAATTTGTAAAGAAATTATTTCACATGGTCCCCTTCTTCCTTATTTTAAATGTTTCTGATTCTTTTCTATTATTATAAGCAGAGATATGCTGAGTAGTTTTAGTGTATTTTATTAACTAATATAAAAGAAAAAGAAACTTTGAAAGGGCTTAGCTCTTATAGAATATAACTGAAAGAGAACTTGGAAATCAAGTTCAATAAAACCCAGTACAATACAACCATGAATGAGTCTCCTACAAGTACCATAATCAAGTGACTGTACAGCCTTTGTTTTATTACTGCAGCCCATTTCAGTCTTGGATAGCTTTTACTATTAGAAAGTTTGTCTTTGTGTTGAAATAAAATCTGCCTCCCTATAATTTCCGTTTATTGCCGTAAAAGTCAAACTGTACTAAAGATTGTAGTTATTCTGTTCTTATCTTACTAGTTATTATTTAATTATACCTCTTTATCTGGTCACCGTGAAAATCCTGCTAACATACTCATTGAATCAAACTACGTTCTACACTGTACATCAGGATATATTTCCACTGAAGCAATTTCCACAAGTAAGATTTTAAGTTCCAAGTGGCATGGTCCTAAACTTTGCCTCAGAAGGCATTTCATTACTGAATTCATTCAAATCCATTTCTGAAGTGTCTTCTAAAACACTCACATGAACTCATATTATGACAATGAATTAAAGCTCCTTTGAGGTCATGTTTTTTTTGATTCCTCCAAATAGAAATGTTAAAGCTCAAATGTCAAAGTAAGCGATAGTAATACTAACACAGTTAATATCAAAGATAAATGTTAAACACATGCATACATTTCTTTGCAAAGAACATCTGCAAATGTATAACCAAGAGTGGTTTCATTATAGAAAAATCTGCTTGAAAAGTTGTATCAAATTATTTTACATGCCATATCTTGGCATTTTCTAAGATCTAAAAAATTTCACAAAGGTTTATTTCTAGAGAATATAGCTAGTCATGATTATGACTTTAGATTAAGAAAGGGGGGGGCTTCCCTGGTGGCACAGTGATTGAGAATCTGCCTGCTAATGCAGGGGATATGGGTTCGAGCCCTGGTCTGGGAGGATCCTGCATGCCGTGGAGCGACTGGGCCCGTGAGCCACAACTACTGAGCCTGCGCGTCTGGAGCCTGTGCTCCGCAACAAGAGAGGCCGTGATAGTGAGAGGCCCGCGCACGGAGATGAAGAGTGGCCCCCGCTTGCCACAACTAGAGAAAGCCCTCGCACAGAAATGAAGACACAACACAGCCAAAAATAAATAAATAAACAAATGTGGGGTTTTTAAAAAAAAAGAGAAAGGGGACATCTTTACTCTGTACCTAATGATTTTCCACAAGCACAGTCCTGGTAACTCTCTTTGACAGTTTTCTCATTTTATCTCTCCTCTGGAGAAATGAAGTGACTTACTGAATTTGTAAATTTGGTAAGAAGAGCCAGACAAGGTTGTGTTCCATTTTTCTCCCCTAAGCATGGAGCCTGGCCATTGAAATCTTTATTGCTTCTCTGCTCTTCCATGCAGTTGACCTTGCTGGGGCTGTCACATGCCCTGTGTGGGTCATTCCAGTCCAACGGGACCTACAACAGGCAAATGAGACTCCCTAATTCTGGGCACAGTTAGCAGACTTACCTGACTCTCATACTGAATCACTTCCTTCATCTTTGCCCCCATCATTCATCTGTTTAGAACTCAGGCAGGGAAGAGATGGCTATTTTATGAGCTGTACTTCCCACCTCCAGGGATTCCAAATGTGGGACATGATGAAGTAGAGTAACAAAGATCCTTGGATAACTTAAACAGAGAGGAGAAACAGTATTTTTATTCTTGCAAGATGTAAAACTTCAGCTCTTTGTCTTTTCTTTTACTTAGAAACAAAAGCAAGTTGAGGACGTATAGTATTCCACGCCAAAATGTATGTTCTAATATTCTGACATATGCAAAATGCGTGCATGAATACTTAGCAGGTGTAATTTTGTCATTATTATTTTATATTCAGATATCTTTAAGTGACATTTAAAAATTGTAAATTGGCAAGAGCTATTTTATAATCATAAAAGTTTTCACCCAAGGAGTAATCTAATTCAACATTTCTGTTTTACAAATAAGAAAACTGAGGCACAAAGAGATAGCAAGGTCACACAAATATATGACCAGAGTGTAATTACATAAAAATGCTAATTGATAAATATCATGAAACCAAAAGTCATAAATGCCACTCTGTAGACCACTTATGCATGTTTGCAATATGCTAATGACATAGGCAGATAGAATTTTATCCAGTTTTTATAAAGGAGGATGATTAAGTTATAAAAATAAATACTTTTCCTGCAATCATAAGGCAAATCAAGAATAAAAGTAATAAATAACCTAATTTGTATCAGTGCTTCCTATACCAGATGATACATATTTAGCATTTGACAGTAATTATACACTGAGATGTTAGAAAATGTTGGGTTACTTTTCAATACAAAATCATATTTTTCTTAGAATAACAAGGAAAGTTGACTAGACTGTAGTACTACACATTCTTAATCATATTCCTTTGTAGCTAAAAATGAAAATAGTTAAAGCAAGTGTCTATAAATTATGTGTAATCATTGCCCTTCTAAGAGCTCTTTTTTGTTGTAATGTTAATGACAGCTTGTAACTTGATTTTTGCACAGTGCAGTAAGCTCTCCCATCTCACTTTCCACTGCATCCTCATTTTTGTCGTGAACGCAAAATAGTGTCCACATTTCCTCTCATATTGTTTTATGCACTAAGTGGTCATTTGACCCTTAAAGTCTTCTTTCGTATCAGCAATTCTGACAGGAGAGCTTTCTTTGAAGTTTGCTGCTTAGGCAAAAGTCCAATATTGAACCAATAGAAAGCATAAAAACGAATCATGAAAATGGACAAGTCATTTGGCAGAATGGCCAAAAAGAATACAGCTTTACAAATCAAAACAAATGGAGGGCCTAAAATCCCTGGTTGAACAAACCCTTCTATGTGACCATGAGAACTGACTTACCCCAGGAATTGTCACCTCTGGCCTGTGGGTACTTCATCATCTAACCTCCCAACAGGTATTGTTTGAGCATCTGTCATGTGTTCCATGCAGTGTTCCATGCTTGGAAGGTGAATACAAAAGAAATGTAAGGATGATCCCTGCCCTTAGGGGGCTTATACTTTAGTTCCGGAAAGATAAAACCAAACAGCTGAAACAAGCAGACTACAATTTCAATGGAAATTGAAACCCCTATACCAGGGGTCAGCAGACCTTTCCCTAAAGGGACAAACAGTAAATATTTTCAGTTTTGTGATCCATATCGTCTCCGTCAATACATAACTCTGCCGAAAGTGGAAGCAGCCATAGACAATATGGAAAAATATGGGTATGGAGGTATTACAAGATAATTTATAAACACTGAAAGTTGAATTTCATATAATTTTCTATCTTAAAATATTATACTTTTGACTTGTTTCAACAATTAAAAAAAAAAAATCTAAAAACAGTTCTTTCGCACAGCCTACCCCAAAACAAAACGTAGGCTAGATTTGGCTCCTAAGTTTGCTGATCTCTGAGTTAGGGTTATCTTAAAAAATAGAGGAATTTAGAATTGATGCATTGAAAGGCATGCACATTTTGTTTCTAGTGTCCATTTAATTTTACTTAATGTAATATATCTGAGGTATAATTTTGTACATTTTTCATAGATGTACATTAGATCATTAACACATTCTGGAAATAACTGCTAGTCCTCCTTTCTGATTTCTGATCTAGAAATCGAGCTCTAGGCTCACGTGCTTCAGTAGTTGTGGCATGTGGGCTCAGTAGTTGTGGTGCACAGGCTTAGCTGCTACACGGCATGTGGGATCTTCCCAGACCAGGGATCAAACCCGTGTCCCCTGCATTGGCAGGCGGATTCTTAACAACTGCTCCACCAGGGAAGCCCCTCTACCATAATTTTTAATAACATCAATATTCAGAATTTCTTCCTGTAATCTTCTCTTTTTTTTTATTTCTGAGAGTTATTTCTTGCTCTCTGAATACCCATACACATATAGATGACTACTCTTGTTGTATCCTTGCGGTATCTTCTTTTCTCTCTATAGTCACTGATTTGCCAGATTTAATTTGCTTTAGTTTTTCATTTTCTTCTATTCTTTGTATTGCCCTTATTCAAATCTTTCTGTTTTGTTTTCTATAAGTCCATTTTGATCTTTCTTCAAGACAGAGGCTTTCCTCAACTGCTTGATGATTGTGGGCTGTCCATTCATATCTGAGGTTGAGGCACCGATCTCAAGGTCTGATTGGAAATTCTGTGCACCTGGTGAAGCTTATTGACTGAGTGGC